AGGCAGAGGGAAGCTACATTATGGCAATGGGAAAGTGATTGAAGCTGAGATGCCAGATCAGGACCAGTAACATTGCAAATTCTTCTTTGGATTTTATCAAGAAAACTTTAAATATATAGCAGGAGCACCGGACCAGATGTGGCATATTCAAAGGATGAATGATTGGTAGACTCATAAATATGTAAGACATATTCTGGTGAGAAAAATTGTCTAGCATGACACAGTGAACCAACTTTCCGAGCTGCAGACCAAGCAATTTATTCAATATAATCTTTCCGCTTCATGTCAGCGGATAAGTCTGAGAAGGCTGATGGAAGGCAAGATGTGTACTCTCAGATAATTAAAAGAGAGCAGTTTCATTTTGGAGACATTAAAATTAACAAGCTATTCCAGATCTGCTGCCAATTTGATGATATTGAACCAATCAAATTTATTATTAAGATCGGAGTAAATAGTTGTATCATCAGCATAGATACCCTTTGAGAACTGCGAAAAGTATACTTTGGGAAAATTTTAAGAAAATTATCCAATTGTAAGTCGAAGAATAAAATTTCTGATTATATTCTATGCAATTGGATTTTGTCTTAGGGTTGAGTTTAAATACTACAGTGAGGTAATTGTTACCTATCATAGTATGTATGTGTGTGTGTGTGTGTGTGTATATATATATATATATATAAAAGGCAGGATGTGTGTGTAACAAATGCACGGCTGCAATTTTTGATGGATTTGCACCAAAATTTACATGCACATGCTCCAAGTTAGCGGGAAGGCCAAGACTGGCTTTACATTTCCCAACTCCCATCGATAGTGGAAATAATCAATTTTTTCATGCTTCTACGGCAGTTTTCATGTAGTTTGTGGCCATTTTCTACCGGCCAGAGTGAGAGCCTATAGCTGGCTGCCATGAATAGGCAGGAAGATTCTATTGGCCAGCATGAGAGCCAACAGCTGACTGACACAAATGTTAACTAGCATGCTAGCATGCAAAAAAAATCGATAGCTGCATTCGTCACAAGTGGAAAAAATTTAAATCCAAATGGCACTTTACTCTAATTGGTTCATTCACTTGCTTAAACTCAATGTTGATTCTGATTCCGCAGAACTGGGTTGAGTGTGAAAAAGTATTTGTTGTTAACATTCTTTTTTCATCCGGCTTTTCTAGTTACGAGTCCTTTTTTAAAGCTGATCGTTTTGTGTTCATTTTGTTTAGTTCTTTTTTCGTAACAGATTTAATGTTTAGTATAGAGCTTAGAAAAAATTTGCAGTGTGAGATAGGCAAGAAGTAAGGCATGTAGCAACATCAGCACAGCAAAGGGCACTCCTTTAAAGGCAAGGAAGGGCAAAAATATTTTAAGTCAAGTGATAACTATTGCTGTATGAGTCTTACGATTTTTGAATCAAGCATGGTCAACGCCGGGCCATGCTGCTAGTTATCAATATGATTGCTATCAATTCTTTAGAGACAGAAAGAGGTTTGTTCAGTGATTGCAATGGAAAATGCAGCAAACGATGTCAATCTTACTGGCCTCCCTTTAGATTTATGGGATGCCACTCCTTTTGTTAAAACATGACTTACAAAAAAAATCAGTGCTGATGACAACAGTGATGCAAAAAAGCAATTACCATGAACGTATAGATAAGGCACAGGAAAGCTATATTATGGCAATGGGAAAGAGATTGAAGCTTCGATGCCAGGTCAGGACCAATAACATTGCTGATTCTTCTTTGGATTTTAACAAGAATCTCTAAATATATAGCAGAAGCACCAGACCAGATGTGATAGCATTATTCAAAGCCAGGAAAGAATAGTAGACTTATAATTATGTAAGAAAAATTCTAGCAAGAAAAATTATTTTTTGAAAAATAATTTCTTGCTTTTGAAATAAAGACAAGCTGCTATTTTGGGATTTTAAGCTGAAATGGGATTCTTATTGACTGAAATTGAATAATTCTGATAGATGAGTAATCTTAAGTCTGGAACAAACAAATGATGTCAACAACTGCAAAAACACTTCAAGAAAATTTAAAAATTATTAAATTATCAATGCTATAAAAGTGATTTCTGATTAAACACTTGGCAGTTTTCTCATGGAATAGAATTTAAATATTGCAGTAAAGAAATTGTTAACTAATATAACAAAATACAGAGAGCGATGGGTAAATTGTCACCATTTTATATTTTTAATTTTGCGCATGTGCATTGTTTTTAATTTTGTTCACTGCACAGTATAATAGGGTGAGCTGGAAACTGTCTGTGAGAAAAAGTGCACCATGACACAATTCACTCCACCAGAAGTTTGGAAATGGCATGCTGTACTACTTGGCATTCGTGCCGGAAGCTCCAATACGAACATTTCAGAGTATTTGGGTGTCAATCTGAGGACAATACAGAGGATTTGGAAAGAGTTGGATGAGTCTAATGATGATTATGAAGGTATGGCAGCTTGGGAAACTCACTCTGATTGTTCTGATAAGAAAAGAACTTCCAAATTTGTTGGTAAGAATCTCAGACAGGTAGTGGTGCCCTGGGTCAAGAGGGTAATTGCTGGAAGACCCCATGTCTGACAACATTACTCTGCACCATGCTACAAAAGCAGGAGAACCTAGTCATAACTTTCTTCAACCACATCACATCTTCCACCTGGCCGCGTAACTCCTCAGACTGCTTTACTTTTGACTATTATGTGTAGGAAACAGGTGAGTGAGATACCAACAAAACTCCTTGTAATACCAAAGATGAACTGAAGACAAGGATTATGGCAGTATTCACCAACTTAAACAAGGAGACTGTCCAGAAGAGTTGTCCGAAGTCATCTAGAGGCCATAGTTGAATCCAATGGGGATTTTTATTGAATAAATTTACCCTTTAGTACTTAAAGTGTATTTTTGTGTTATTTTGGTAAATATATCTGTTAAAATGACATATCAGTGTTATTTTAATTTTTGCGTAATTTAGTTGACAATTTATCCATCGCACCCTGTATATACAGGGTGTTTACAAAGTCTTTAGACAATTTCAAAATGTCATGAAAACTTAGAACAGGTAACAACTAAATTAATGTTTTTATTAAAGGTCTTTAATCATTAATAGTTTTATCAATTTTACGTTTTTATGTTTGAGACTGCAATTTATGTTTGTTTTATATTTCAAACATAGACCAAAATTGAATATTGCTTAAATCCCCTTTGTGCAACAAATGTGACCCATATAGATATTTATTAACTATTTGTATATAAACTTCAATATTTACTTCATATTATCTGAACGTTTCAACAATATCCAGTTTCCATTGTAATTTTAAAAAAGTTTTCTCTTTGTCTAATGACTTTGTGGGGCACTTTGTATGTTCAAACGAAATTTTCTGATTATTTTAGAAGTATGAATTAAAACCATTTGAAAAATTCTTCTGTGCTTTTTGAATTTCAGCTAAGGAACAAAATTTAAATATGTTACAATTTTTTAAAAAAATTAACTAATTTCTTTTAATTTTTATCATCTGTCATTTACAATAGGATTAGAAAATATTAAATTCCTTTAACTTATGGAAATTATATATTTTTTATTTATTGTCTAAAAGCACTGTTCTGACAGTTGATGTGTATTCAAACATCTGAGAAAATTTACAAAATAATGACAAATCGGTTACACTTCTCAAGTTTATATCAAATAATGATTATATTATTTAAGGGAAATATATTTAAAGTACTGACTTATGTGTAAGAAATCTTGACAATAGTTTTTGATAGTCTAAGTTCTAATAATTTTATGTAGTATTCTTTGTGTCAAATGAAAGCTAAATGGTTTAATTTCTTATTGTGAACTTCAGGCCTTTTTACATAGTAATCATTATGTAACCAGGTTGGAACCTTTGATGAGATTTGAACTTGTATTCTAGCGAGTTTGTCTGACATGGACAGCTATTACCCAGTTCAGCTATGAAAGCCTTTTAGCTTCTGTAATTCAAATTTAAATGTCTATTTCTTCCATTTCTTCATCTGATTTACTTCTTTTGAAACTGAAATATCCTCAGACTATATTTGGTAAATCCTATTTATATGATATGCAAGAGTATAGCTATATGATTTGCCTACATATACAAGTTCGACCATGTCTCTGCAGTCATCACCAATGTGTTTATTTGGTCATGTCCCACATTTGTTATTTGGATGCTGCAATATGGACTTTAATGCCAATACAAAAGTATTCTTATCTGAAAGTTATTTAAAATAAAAGACTTCTCTCTCTAGCTTTTTATATATTAATATCTATAAATTTCTTAGTATTTTCTGGATATGTGCACTGAAAGTTTGGGTGTCAATCTTTGTTTATACAGAAAGCAATTAGCACAATTACTAATAAATAGAAATTAGTGTTTCTGCTGACCTATTCAAAAGACTAAGGGGCATACATATGACAGATAAACTAATAACTATTTTAGAAATCAAATCCTTGTACACTAAAGTACCTATTAACAAATATTTGAATCTTTTAAAAAACATCTGCAATCAAATGTAACCTCTAAATACCAAGAGAGAAAATCCTAAAATCTTATTAACTTGTGACAAACCAATGTTATTTCATTTGTGACACATTTTCTAAATGAAAATTTGGATTACCAATGAGATCAACCTTTAGCTGTATTTTTTCTTTGAATTTCTAGAGAGTGGTTCCTTCCAAAATATTTTGCCAAATAGCAAAAACTATCTGAATTTAAGCTGGGCATGATAGATTAATTGGTTTGTTTTTTATGGCTTATCAGCCTTCTTCAAGTTGTTTAAAACCAGAAAATATTTTTAGATCATCAGAATTTTGGGGATATAATAATGTTTTACCGATACAAGTCCTACAAGTTAACCCATGATTAAGTAAAAAGAGGCAGATTCTTACCATTCTGAAGGGTATTGGTGTGTAAGTAACAAACCAGAGTGGAATTGGAATTCAGCTCTCTGTTTGTCAATTCCGAGCCGTTATCTATTACACAACATGCACATCCAAGCTTACAGCACTTGGTGTTTCCAAGTGGTCACCCATCTAGGTACTAACCAGGCTCAATGTTACTTAACTTCAGTGATCACATGAGAACCAGAGTTTTAATGCGATATGGCTGTAAGCCTGGGATGATAGCAGATAGCAAATGAAGGAGACATTCATTTCTGTAATTGAATATCAGGAACACATTTTGGAAATCATTACTACTCATTGTGAATAGCACAGTGGCTGACTATGGTTACTTTATGATGTCAGTTAAGTTTTCATGAGTTTCAAATTTTAAAACTTGGGTAGAGATAAACACAGAAGAGAAAGCCTCATCTTGAGAATTATTTACATATGTAAACATACAAATAACAATGATATTCTTATATATGTATCTTCACTTTATTTGTATTGCAAAAAAAAAACAAAACAATTACTACTTTTGATGCTTGAGAAATTAACTTTTACTTCAGAGGTTTACTTCCTTCAGTAAATTTTTTTATATATTGTAAAAAAAATAATTTTATCTATTGCTTTCCAGCAAAAATGGTCTTTTGCATATTTTATGATTTTTATCTATTGTAAAAAATAATTTTATCTGTTACTTTCTGTATATCCAGCAAATATGGTCTTTTGCATTTTTTATGTTTTTTATATATTGTAAAAAATAATTTTATCTGTTACTTTCTGTATATACAACAAAAATGGTCTTTTGCATGTTTTATGTTTTTTATATATTGTAAAAAATTATTTTATCTGTTACTTTCTGTATATCCAGCAAAAATGGTCTTTTGTAAGTTTTATGGTTTTTTAAATGGATCATTTGTAAGAAAAATAGAAGTAAGTTTTTATGTGTTTTTATTTGCTTCCAATTTTATAAACATCACCTTGTGAAATGCTTGGACTTATCATTATTCATTGTTAGATCCACTGACAGCAATGGGCCAGTTGATCTATCCTAAATTATGGGCCCTCTTCTCTATGCTAGAAAAGTCCCTTCTAGACATAATGCAGTTCTGCTTCATTCAGTAATATTGCTGAAGTTGAGCAAGTGGCAGTGAAAAGGGTTCAATGTGTCCATCCTTGACCTGTAAAAGGCTTACTTGCAAGTGTGCATACACAAGTCACTCTGGCTGTTCCAGATGGCTCTCTTCAATGTTCAGAGATATTGTTTCATCCTAATGGGGTTTGAACTGAACGTGATGCCAGCAATAATGAAATCAATTGTGGATGCAGTACTCTTAGATGACGACATTCAACAGGTAACACCAGTATATATAAACATTCTTTTTTTAAATTAATTCATCCCAAGCAAGGTGATAATGCTGCTAAGATGCAAGAGGCTACTTGGAGTGAAAGAGAATGAAAAAACTTTAGAAGGAATAGGAAACCCAATCCTAAACAGTAAGCAAGGGATAAACTTCTAATCCTGTTAAAAAAAACTGGGGAGAAATGTGAACCAGATGGTAGAAACTTTTTACTACTATTGAGGAAAAGATAAAAGAAGAAATAAATACTAAATAAAATTTCAGAGTTTAGGCAGAGATATAGAGTTGAAGTAGACTTTAGAAGGAACCAAAACCTAATCTTAAACAGGAAACAAAGGATAATCCTCTACTCCTGTTCAAAAAGACCAGAGAGAAGTTCAAACCAGACATTAAGAGAACCTATGTACTCCATATGTTAATGAATGTATTGCATATATAGTGTGTGTACAACATCTAGCTAATTCCAGGTTAACAATTTTGAAGAGAAACACAATCATCATGGAACCAAGAAAAAGTGCTGCAACAGTGGAATTAACACATTGGCAAACTCTTCCATGGCAACAGTTAGGCTAGTATTAAAAATAATAATATTACATTATTGAATTGTGCAGAAGATTCCACCTAGCATGGACGAGTGGGTTAATCTTGAGAGTCATTTCTCAAGAGATGGAGGGTGATCATCCTGGTTTTAGCCAATCTTAATTTCAAATCTTGTGTTCTTACTAGACAATTTCAGATTCTAGTTCAATTTCTTGTAATTAAATGCTTGGCAAAGTTTAACTTAGGAACAGGCAAAAAATAGGATGTCAAAATGATGTCTCTTTTTTTTAACACTGCTATTTGCAATAGTCTTGGATAATGGTACACAATTCACGACTTACAAATTTAATGAATTTTGTAAAATATTCTCAATTGAACATATGAACAGGTAACAAAAAATTTTTCAAAATTGGTGAAAAAGTGTTTTTTCTGAGTATATAAAAATGGAAAAGAAATGTGGGAAGATGGCGTAATAAGGTCACAAATTGGAAAAATAATATATGTGGTAAAAGGAAAAAAATAGTAACACAAAAGGCATTGGAATCAGTAAAAGAAATGCCTGCAAGAAAGGAAGAACCTATGTAAATACTGTATGATATTTTTGATGTACCAACACCAATGATTCATTGAACGTACAAGTACCAGAAAAAGGAAATGAACAGAAAAACTAGAAGTTGACCCAGAACAAAATAAATACAAAGTTCAGTAAGTGGTGGACTCTCCAGAAAAAGGCAGGCATTGAATACTAAGAAATAAAATATTTACTCGTGAAAAAAATAAAAAATCTCAAAAGTGGGGGTGTTGTGGAGTAAATAAGACACTTCCAGCAACACAAATGAACTAGGCAAGATTCCTTAAATAAAGAACTCAAAGTGAGTCAAGGGAAGTTCATTGGAATCAGTTGAAGAGAATTTCTAATGACATCATGGTGAGTAGCCTAAACGAGACATAATATAACTACTAGGAGTAAGTTATAACACTACAACTGTAAACCACCTTTGATAATTTGCACTGCATTAAAATGCTGTTTCATACAGAATATTTCTCATACTTCTACATAGGTTTTTTTTCAGGAACTAAATAAGGTATTAAAGTAACAGAATATAAGAAATAAAGATGGCTACTAAATTGTGATGTATGAATTCTTATACTATGAAAATTATTTCTAATAAAAATGATAGTATTAAAATTATAGGAAAAGAATAAAATATTGGAATTGCATAAAAATTAATATAGAAACTATTTTAATAAAATGGTTAATGTTGAGTCGTATTAGGGTCTAATTAAGAAAATTAGAATGATATTAACCTGATTTCTCTGAAAAAGAAACTGCTAAAATGAAGATAAATGGTATATAAATATATAATATTAGTGGTCAATATATATATATATATATATATATAAATTTCCAAGAGGATAGAATCCAGGTAGAACTCAGTGTCCAGGACAGAGTAAGAATATAATATAAAAGGCTGAAACACTAATATTAAATGGTTATAATTTATTACATTGGAATCGTAATCATGATCCAATTCATCAGACCTTCAATTTTAAATTTTTAGGTATGATGAATTGGGTTGTGATTACGATTCCAATGTAATAAATTATAACCATGGAATATTAGTGTTTCAGCTTTTATATATATATATATATATATATATATATATATATATAATATGCATGGTACTTATTAGAAAGCGCTCAATATCAGAGATAGAGCTAACATATTTGGTTGGATTGATGTGAGTTTGTGACCCTGGGTTTCACACTTTTGCGATCATCAGACAAACTCTCTCTCTCTCATATATATATATATATATATATATATATATATGATAGAGAGAGACTGCCTGCCTCAATTCATCTGTTCATATCACCATATCAATTATAGCTGATGGATCCTTATATGTACAAGAAAAACATTTCATTTCGGTGTTGGTTAATAAAGTAGTTTGCATTTGTGACATGTAACAGGATCTGGTGATCTGGTTTATTGATATCATCCCCTACACCTAAACTAAAATATCACTTCACATATAATCAAGGCAAAATTGATGTTAGTTTTAAAAATTTTGTGAATTGTAAGGTTTTCAGTCTTATTCACAACATATTACAATAAATGTAACACTGCCTCTAAATGATGATCGTTACTCTGTTCAACAAAGCAGCCAGGGAATTTTTAACTCGGATAGTAGTAGCATTATATCATGTTTGTCTTCAATTCTTCCACTACATCATCAAGCTGGAAATACTTTCTTCAGTTGACCAAATTCTCCTTTTCAAGTTATATTTTGCAAGGGGTGGTGGTGGTGGAGAAGGTGGTGATGCTAACTACTTTCTGCTTAACTGTGGATAATTGCTTTCTACTCTTGGACTACTTGACTCTTTGTGTAGTGTAACTGTGGCTGGCTACCTCAACTTATCTGTCCATGTCTCTATCAAAGATAGTTTTCTATATGTATAGGAAATATGTTTCATTCAGGTAGTTTGCGTGTATGAATTGTAACATGGTCATGTGATCTGGTTGACATCATCCCTTATTCATATACTAACATTTGATTCCATATAAGACAGAATTAAGAGTAGTGTTAAAATATTATAATATTCCATTATTGAATTGTGAATAAGATCATACCAAGTATGTGGCAGTTGGGTTATCTCATGTCATATTTCCAGGGGTGAGAGGTGGTGCTCCCTGATCTTAAGTTTTAAGTTCAAACTCAGCTCTTAATTAATTTTAGTGTAATCAAATTCTATGTAAATTTTAACATAGAACAAGGCAAAAAAAATAGTGTGTTGAAAGGACTTTTTCTCTTGACACTGCTATTACTGTATATTGCTATTACTAATTTTATTGCTTTAATGAGCTATTTTATGAAGAATATTCAGCATGATAATTCAATATGTTTTAATTAAGTGTTTTTCATTTCTTCAACATGAGAAAAACTAAACTCCAGGGTACTTTTGGTATATATTAATAAAATCCAAAATACCTAGTTTAGTTCTCTTGACTTTTCACATCATCAAGTTAATTCCCATTCCAATCAGCACTGGATATAGATTCACTCACTTATAAAATTCAAAACAGTAACTGTATTTCATACAGAAAGGATATTTAGATAATTTGCAATTAGTATTGGGAACATTCAAACAGCTTGTATATGAACAGAGAATACATTGAGTAAGTAAACTAAAACAGGAAGTGTGCTGAAAGTTGTGTTTTTCATCAGATTTACTTTAACTTGTACAGCAAAATCACTCTAAGAGAATTAGAAGACCTGCCATGATTTGTTATTATAAGACATTACTGTTAAGTTTTGCATATTC